TTGGGCTAGAGATTGTGCGCGACAGGCCAGAGAGGAAGCTGTGGCTGCACTAGGAAAACTACGCCGACAAGCTGCGCAGGCGCTTCATCGATGAGGAGCAGGGCGGTCGAGTCTCGAAGACGCCGGTCTCAGTTGACGCCTAGGCCGACCTTATGTTCGACGACAAGGAAGCCCAGGAGTGTGAGGAGGAGGAGTACCGGCAGAAGGTTGGCTCGCTGCAGTTCGCGGCGACGACAAGGAGGCCGGACATCGCGTTCGCCTGCAAGCAAGCTGGGGGGAAGCCTCACAGTACGGAGCGACCAGCATTGGCGCGAGGCCGACTGCTGTCTTGCCTACCTCGCTGACAGCGCCCTAGAGTTCAGCGGTGGACTAGGGTCGCTAGAGCTGATCGGCTACGTGGACGCCGACGACGCGGGCGACAAGCAGAAGCAGACAAGCACGGGCGGCTACGTGTTCGTCTTCAAAGGGGCCGCTGTCTCCTGGTCGAGCTAGCGCATCAAGTGTGCGTTGCTCTCCTCGACCAAGTCGGAGTACGTCACAGCCACGGACGCCGGGAAGGAGGGGCATCGACTTCGCTTCCTCCTTGCAGGATTCAAGCTGATCGACTTTGGGAAGCCGGCTGTCCTCGTCGTGGACAACAAGTCGGCAATCACGATCGTTGAGGGCTTGGGGCTGACGCGCAACCTCAAGCATATGGAGCGACGATATGCCTGGCTGCAGCACATGGTGAGGCGCGGGAATTTCGTCTTGAAGTACATCCCGACCACCGAACAGCCGGCTGACTTCCTGACGCAAGTGCTACATTTTCCGGCTTTCAACCGGTGCTCTGTCGCCTTTGGCTAATTTCGTCTGGCCAACGTCGGCGACGGCGATGAGAATGTGCAGCAGTAGGTGCCGTGCCCTTCTGCACGGCTGGTGCGGTGACAGCGTGCTATGTATGGGGTGCACGTCGAGAACGAGTTTTCTCCGTGGAGTACTGCCGAGTGGGCTGGAGGCCCGCGGCAGGGGAGTGTTAACGGGAGTGGAGTGTTGGCCCCTCCCTCGCTTGGGCAACACAAACGAATTGGTTGGATGTATGGGAGTAGCAGCCGGCCGTTCGCAGGGAAGGAGCTGCTCAACGGGCTTCGTCGAGCTATAGGGGATCACTATGGTGTTGCCGTCGACAAGGAGTGCTCGACGACCTTCTTCTGCGGGGCAGGTTGATGAGATGGCTGTCGACCTGCACAAGACTGTCACGAGGCTAGAGCCGTTGACCAGGGATCTCGACAGCTGCAGCTAACTGGGCTGGGCGACGGGTGGACCGTCGACCAGGAGTAGCAGTTCGACTGCGAGGTCGACAGAGCAGTCCGTCTACCTGATAAGTGAGCAGCGGTCGACGAGGGGAGCTCGACGACAACAGCTGACAGTCCTGGTTGACGGAAGGGGTCCGTCGACTAGGGGGTAGCTCGACAGGAGCTTTAGTCGACCAGAGGCACCCGGTGGTCGACCAGAAGCACCTAGTGGTCGACCGGAGGCACTTGGTGGTCGATGGTGGTCGACCAGGTCGACCAAGTAACCTGCTCGACGAGTTCTGCGGAGGCACACGAACGTCGTCGAGGTCGCGATGGCGAAGGCGACCACTGGTTGGTATCTTGAAGTCGATGTGGCTTGTCAGGCGCAAACGACAGCCGACGGATGCTCAACGAGGCACGTCGGGCCAATCGTATGTGTGCACCTGCGAGCGTGCGCACTGCTGTCTTCTACGGGGCAATGCTGGACAACCGCTCTGTTGCAGCGTTGGCACGCCGTCGACTTGCTGCGTTGGCAGGTCGCCCTTCTGCAGTGCTGGCGCGGCTCCTCTACGCAACGCTGGCAGGCGGTCGACCAAGCTGTGCTAGGCGGTCGACTAGGCTAGTTGCAGGGTTGCTAGGTGCTTGACGTAGTCATTCTTGTCACTGTGAACTCACTCATTATGTAATTTCGCCATTGTTAGTGAAACTCTTGCCAACTTCTCCCGTGAATGTGCAAGTGCTAAGGAACGCAAGCAAAGCTACGATCACTCTCAGTAGTTCGTGCCGACCCCCGTAGTCTAGCGCACTACCGTTGTCGATTGACTCTTCGCAGTTTGTGCTCGGAGTGTGTGGTGACTTTGTGCGCCACCTTGAGCCTTGTTTTGTTGCTTGCTCTTGACTGGTCTTGTGACCGTTGTTTCATGTCAGAATGTTATTATCTAGCCTGTAGTGGGGTGCTCTATAGCGAGTACAACCCAGTTAGGGTTTACTATATGTATCCCAACTGCTGCTAGTGAAACCTTCTCTTTCGTCATTCTTCTTTTGCACTTCTTGTTTCTGACATGCTATCAGAGTAGGTCGACCCCCTTGGATCGATCCTGTGGATGGGTCCGCCACCTAACTGCTTCCGCTGCTGTTCTGCTTCTCGCGCGCCTCGGGCGCGCGCTGTCTTCTTCCTGCCGTGCGCTCAGGGCGCGCGACGGTTTTCTGCTGTGGGGACCCGCGCACAGCCCCCGCCCGTCTCGTCGCGTTGCCCTGCAGGCCGCGCGCGCCCCCTCTCGAGTCCGTCGCAGGCGCCCTGGGGAGCTACGCGCGCCCCCAGCCCGTCCGTCGCGGTGCCCTGGGGAACCGCGCGCGCCCCCTTGCCTGTCCGTTTCGGCGCCCTGAGGAGGAGCGCGCGACCCCCCTTTTCTCCCACTGCTGCACCTGCTGCTGAGGGGGGTGGAGGTGTGGGAGCCGAGGGGAGTGGAGCCAGGGGGGTGACGTGGGAGTGGAGCTAGGGGTGCAGCAGGGGGTGTGTGGAAAGGAGGTGGGACTGTTTGGGGAGGCTGAGAGGAGGCCACCGTCGTGTCGTACGCAGCGCCTGTAGTCCAGAGCCGTCGCGCTCTCGGTAGCCCAGAGAGCCTTGCTGTGCCAGTCGCCTGTGGGTCCGTTGCTCCTGCCGCTCGTCGTAGCCGCGGAGCAAGATACTCCCGTAGTCCGGTGCCCTCGTGCGCTCGGTAGCCATTGTGCCAATCCTCCTGTTGCTCGTGTGTCTGCTGCTTCAGCTGTCGTCTCCCATCTTCTCTCCCTTCACAATTCCTCCTCATTTGCCATCTGTGATCGCCTCTAACTTTGCTAATAATTGTGAACTACCGTATGGCCCCGGATATAGGCGCCGGCCTATTATAGGCGCCGGCGCTTCTATCTGGAGCATGGCGCTTATGGCCGATCCTCGATTATAAGCGCCCCCCCCTGTAAAACCATTACTTATTATAAGCGCCCCCCCTTTTTAATTTAAATATCAATTAAAATCGGTAACAAATTTCAGTTTTGCAGCGAGTCAATTTCATTTTCGCTTCGTTTGACTCGCGAAGACCTGACTGGCTGCGCGTCCAGTCAGGATGTGCTGGCATCCCTGCAAAGTGACGCGAATTTGACAGTGTGCAGGAAGCAGAATCGCTTGCGCACGATTCTGCTTTGTGGTACTCTATATGATTTCGACTCGTTTCAATTTTGTACTCTTAACGTATAAATGTGTATGTGTCATTATATAAGCGCCGGCGCTTATGGCCGTTACTAAATTACAAGCGCCACCCCTAAAATTTTTGAACTTATTATAAGCGCATATACGCTTATATCCGGGGCCATACGGTATTACTATGCCTGCTCATTGTGCTGATTACACCCCACTTTGGCTATGGGGGTGTGTCAGAATGTGATTATCTAGCCTGTAGTGGGGTGCTCTATAGCGAGTACAACCCAGTTAGGGTTTGCTATATGTATCCCAACTGCTGCTAGTAAAACCTCCTCTTTCGTGATTCTTCTTTTGTACAGCCTATTGTTTCTAACATTTCACTTGCTAGTTGTTGGGTGCCCCTCACTTAGCCTATTGGGGTGTGTTGAATGTTAATATTGTGATAGGCTGCTGTGAGATACTCCATAGGGAGTAACTTTGTTAGGCTTCCTTTTCGTATTGACTCCCTACCCTAATGCAATCATTCCGTTGCATTCTATTTCTAATATGCGAGTTTGTGATTACAAAAAACTGACGATAATTTAGGGGGAAATCATAGCTAGGCGAGAACCACGGGAAATGTAGGCTCAGAAGTTTGGCGAATACGGTAGTGCAGGGCGATTCGTGGTTGTTTGGTCGGGTTTGTAAACCGAACTAGCTGGCGCGAACCCTTTAGGACTGAACCCGCTAAAGTGCGACTGGAGTGACGAATTGTATTTCCTTACAAACAATGATCGCTAATTCACAATAGAGCACCCTTTCAATATTCAATGTTTTTTTTGTTCCGGGCTTGCAGCTCCTTATACGGGTATTTAACGAACAAATATAGGTAGCATTATTAGTGAACATAAGTACTAAGGGTTTTTCCTGAAGCGCGTCACAAAGGCCTCGCGTCTCAATTGAAGAGATGCAGTACGGTGAATATGTTTTACACCTCGGTTTTATGCGGTGTTGACTGTTACAGAGGTTTGATGACGCGATTGAGACATTTGTGTCAAGAGCGGAATGAGCCCTAACACTCTTAGAGGTATTCGGTTGTCAATCACTGGAAATTTAGGTTTCTGTGTGGTTCGATTCGGTTTATTTCGGTTGGTCAACCTCAAAGAAATATCTGCTAAGGGCGGGTCAAAAGAGTACGTCCGATTGCGGTTCAAAAAGGTTGAGGCTTGATTCAGAGCGTTCTATTTAAAAAACAAGATGGTTGGGTAGGGTTTCCTGCGAATGCGTGCAAAGTTTGACCTGCCCTAACTGAATCTCCGAAAGCAGGCAAACCTTGAGTGCTCTGCATGTGATCGAGGCTTGCACGGCTATGGCACAGACGATTAGCCTCAGTCCTCACTAGCTAGGCGTAGGAAAGAGCACCCGCGTCATGTGCCCGTCAGTGGCCCCCGCCCCCTTGCTCGCAATCTAGCGCGTTACCTTGGCGGTCGACTAGAGCTGATTGTTAGCTCTACTTGAGATTCGAAGAGGAAATTTTCATTGTTTCTAGATACCTTTATATTGCGAACGCAGTGATGGACGACAATGGCGAGGATAACGTGTACTTCGGGCGCGCGTTGGAGCGCGCGGAGGGCGCGGGGGGCCGCAAGCTGCACCTGGCGGTGGTGGAGGGGCGCGCAAAGCAGGCGGTGCCGCCGTGACAGCAGGAAGGCGCGCGACGATGAGGGCAGGCGGCGGTTTCACGGCGCGTTAACGGGGGGCTTTTCCGCGGGGTACTTCAACAGCGTGGGGTCCAAGGAAGGTACGAGGCACCTGCCATAGGCTTGGAGCCCAAAACCGGTGAGAGGAAGCAAAAGGAGGGGTGCAGGGAAGGTTATTCCACGCCTTGCCGCCATGCGAGCGTGCGCTTTTCGCGCGCTGAGACTCTCTCTCGGATTCTCGCGCCATTAGGCGCCGATGCGGCTGTTCCCTCGCCTGCTGTTCCCTCGCCTGCTGTCCCCCTTGCTGCCGCTCTCCTGCTCGTCTCGCTGCTTCCTCAGTGGTCCGCTTGCCGGCACGAGGGGTGAGGTGACGCAACGCCCGAGGGGGCGACGGCAGCATCACTCATCCCACTGCTCTCCCCTTCCACCCCCAAATCCCCTCTCTTCATCCCAACCCCCCGCGTTTATCTGCCCGCCAACCCCCCGCGTTTATCTGCCCGCCAACCCCCCACGTTTATCTGCCCGCCAACCCCCCGCGTTTATCTGCCCGCCAACCCCCCGCGTTTATCTGCCCGCCAACCCCCCGCGTTTATCTGCCTGCCAACCCCCCACGTTTATATGCCCGCCAACCCCCCGCGTTTATCTGCCCGCCAACCCCCCGCGTTTATCTGCCCGCCAACCCCCCGCGTTTATCTGCCCGCCAACCCCCCGCGTTTATCTGCCCGCCAACCCCCCGCGTTTATCTGCCCGCCAACCCCTCACCATCCAACCCAGGGTGGCAGCCTGCATTGTTCCGCTCGTCGCGCTCGCAGCGCGCGGAGGTGCAGCCGCAGCGCGTGGAGGCGCTCATGGACGCCGACGAGCGCCACGACGCGCAGCGCAGCGCCGTGGCGGCTCACAGCGCGTTCGACACGTTCGGCTTCACCGCTGCTGAGCGCGCCCGCCACCTCGCCCCCGCCGCGGACCGGCGCCACTCAGTGATTCCCGGGGGGGCCGTGGCAGAGCTGCTGGCGCCCGCTGCTGACTCCATCGGTGCGGCAAGGGGGGAAGGGAGGGCGGAGGCAGGGGGAGGAGGGGCTGCGCCAGAGGAGGCAGGGGGAGGGGACAGTTGGATTGGATGGGTGGGGTGGCTTGTTGCCGTTGGACTGGCTGCTGACTGCTGGGAGTGCAATGTGGAAACGTTGTCCCTTCCCTGTTTGCCTGTGCACTCCACTTGTACCACGTCCCCCAGCCAACCTGTCCTCTTCTCTGCACGTCTCAACCCATTGCCTCAGTGCCCCATGCACATGCATACCTCCTCCCCCCCCCCCCTTTCCTTCCACCTCTCCCACTTCCCGCCCCTCTCCAACCCCCCTCCTTAATCCAACACGCTTCACATTCCCCCCTCCACCAACCTTCCCTGCTCCTCCCGTCCCCCTTGCCCAACCACGCGAGCCAGGCAAGGCGTTGCTGCGAAGGATGGGGTGGAGAGAGGGCAGGGGGCTGGGGCCGGACGAGGTGGCAGCTTCCAAGAAGGTGCAGCGCAAGGGCAGGCGGGCAATGCTGGCGCTGGCAGCGGGAGGAAGAGGGCGCGGGGCGGGGGGAGGAGACGAGGAGGGGGAGGCAGAGGGGGAGGAGGACGGCGAGGAAGGGGACGCATGGGGGGGTCGAGGGGAGATTGTGGGGAAGGGCAGGGGGGCAAGGGGCGGCAAGGACGGGGGGCCGTTGGCGGCAACAGCGACAGCAGAGGCGGCGGTGGCGGCGCAGCTGAGGGCGCCCAAGCGGGACACCCGGGGTGTGGGCTTCGATGCTTTCCAGGGCGCTGAGGATGTGCGAGGTCAGGCGTGCAGAGGGGTGGTGAGGCGTGAAGAGGGGTGGTGAGGCGTGCAGAGTGGTGGTGACTGGCATACTTGCAATGACTGCCATATGTGGAATGTCCCCTTGGTAATACTGTCTGCCATGCTTGCAAGGACCACTGTAGCTCTTTCTCCTCCCCGTTCCACTCTCATTGCTCACTACAACTCCCTCGTCCTTGCTTCCCGCCTTCCCGCCTTCCCCCTCCCTGCCTCGCCCGCCTCTCTGTTCTCTGGGGAGTGGGAGCAGAGCACAGGCAAAGGACGGCGGGGGGGGCGAGGGAGGGAGGGGAGAGGGGGGGAGAGAGGGGCCTGGGTGGGCGGCGCAGGGCGGGTGGTGGCAAGCAGTCACTGTTTGCGGCGGGCAGTGGGCGGGTGGCGGGGGGGTTTGGCATCGGGGCTCTGGAGGAGGCTGGGGCTGAGGATGAGGATATCTACGACTCCGGTGAGATGCTGTGTGGTGGAGTTCAGTGGTGGTGGTTGAGGAGTGAGAGTGTGTTGTTGTGCAAAGAAAAGGTTGACTGCATGTGGTGGCACGTTACCATGGTGGCACGTTACCATGTGAGCACTCCTTCTTGCTTTCCTCCTTCACTCTGCCCTGTTCTTCATGCGCACTGCGCTCACCCCCTTGCCCTCTCCCCCCGTACGCCCTCCCTCCCCGTGCGCCCTCCCCCCCCGTGCGCCCTCTCCCCCCGTGCGCCCTCTCCCCCCGTGCGCCCTCTCCCCCCGTGCGCCCTCTCCCCCCGTGCGCCCTCTCCCCCCGTGCGCCCTCTCCCCCCGTGCGCCCTCTCCCCCTGTGCGCCCTCCAGAGATACCGGCGGCAAGCTGCCCGAGGTGGCGAGCGACGAGGACGAGGAGGGGGAGGGGCGAGGCGTGCATGCTGGCGGGGGTTTCATGGCCGCAGGCAGGCGCGGGCAGCAGGGGGGGCAGCAGGGCGCGCAGGGAGGGGCGCAGCAAGGCATGGCGTGGATGGGAGGGGTGGGGCGTGGGAGCGGCGCCGCTGTGCTGCGGGGCTTCTGTGAGGGGCGCGTGGCGCTGGAGGAATGCAAATGGTACTGCTGCCTGCCCTCCCCTTGCCTCACCCACACTCACTGCAGCCCAATGTGTGTGCTGTTGCTTCTGTTGCCTCTGCCACATGCCTTCCTGCCCACCACGAGCCTTGCTCCCTGCCCACCACGAGCCTTGCTCCCTGCTCACCACGAGCATTGCTCCCTGCCCACCACGAGCCTTGCTCCCTGCCCACCACGAGCCTTGCTCCCTGCCCACCACGAGCCTTGTTCCCTGCCCACCACGAGCCTTGCTCCCTGCCCACCACGAGCCTTGCTCCCTGCCCACCGCACTGCTTCTTTCCTTAGCTGCAAGTCCCCGTTCACTTCCACCCACACTGCTTCACTGTCAACCAATCACTGCTTCACTTCCACCCACACTGCTTCACTGTCAACCAACCACGCCTTTTCACACACGTGCTGCTGTCCTCCCTCCCACCCTCCCTCCCACCCCCCCACCCACCCACCCTCCAGGTAACCCCCCCCCCCCCACGTGCCCTCCTCCTTCACCCCCCACCACGTCTTCCCCTCCTCCCCACCCCCCTCCGCCATGTCAGCGCCCTCCCCACTCGCCCCGCCGCCAGCCCCTCCCTCCGCAGGCGCGGCGGTGCGGGCGGCGGTGGAGGGCGTGGCGGCCATGGTGGCGCGCTGTGGGGCGCATGTGGAGGCGCTGCTGCTGTCTCGGGCAGGGGGAGGGGTGGGGGAAGGGGCGCGGGAAGGCATGGTGCAGGGCGCAAGCGCGAGGGAGGAAGGGGGAGGAGAGGGCAGTGCGCGGCTGGCGTTCCTGGTGGGCGGGGAGGGCAGTGCGTACTACCGGCGGCGCGTGTGGGAGCTGGCGGAGAGGCAGAGGGCCGCCCAGGGCAGGGCAGCAGCGGGCAAGGCGGTGGGGAGCAGTGGGGGGGAGCACCTAGGGCCTGATGCGCGGGGCGCGCTGCTGGGCGAGCAGCCGCTGCCTTCCTCCCAGCCTGCCCCTGCTCCACCGTCTATCAGCGCACCCCACACCCACCTCAACCGCCTCTCCTGCTGCTGCAGCTTCTGCCTTTACTTCTGCCGCATCTCCTGCTGCTCCCCCCGCCCCCACTGCGCCGGCCTTCCAGCAGCACGGGGCGGCAGCTGAGCTGGCAGCAATGATGACAGCACGCTTCCACAGCAGTGGGCACGAGGACCAAACGGGCAAGGGCGGCATGAGCACGGAGAAGGCGGCGCTGCCTGCTACACCCGGGGCAGACACAGCGCTGGCAGGGGCGGCAGCAGTGGTGGTGGCTCGGCGGAGGGAGGAGGCATGGAGGCTGCTGCCTCTGCTGTGCAAGCGCTTCAACCTGCCCGACCCGTATGCGGGCAAGGTGAGATAGGCGTGCCACCCTGTGGGCTCAGTTGGGCATCTCACATGTTTGCATAGTACATGTGACCTCATTGAAAGTTGTGTATCATGTGAAAATGCGTAGTGCGTACGGGCTGACCGGGAAACAGAGAGGGAAAAAAGGCTGCGACACTGATGTTGAAGAAATCTTCCAACTAAGCCTGTGAGGCAGCCCACAGACAGGTGACGTTGTTGGAAGCCGTGTGTTGTCGTTTGGTGGCAACCAGTTCCTTCCTTGATGCACGCACTGGTCGGCTAGCACGTCTCTGCTTGCCTGCCACCAGATTTCCCTGCTGCTTCCTGCTGCTTCCCACACGTCCACTCCCCTTCTTCCTCCCCCCGTGTATTCTGCCCGGCTGGTCCCACTGCCATGCCTGCCGCCCAAGTGGTTCACTCTGCTTGCACGCTGCAGTTCTGTGCCGCACACCCGTTTGATTCTCTGCAGTCAACCCGGTCACAGCACAGTGATCCACTTGTTCACCTTTTCACGCGGCTTTCTTCTCTCTCCTTTCTCTTCTCCTTCGCCGTGGTCCCTCCACAACAGGCCCCTCCCCCCCCTCTCCACCGCCCCTCTCAGCTCGACACCCTCACCTCCTTCCCCCAAACCCTCCCCTCCACCACGCCCGCCCCCACTGCTGCCCCCTCGCCTCTCCTCTCCCTCCCTGCGCCTCCTCGTGCTGCGCCTGCCATGCCTCCTGGGCGTGATGGGTGGATGGAAGGACACGAGGAGGGACACGTGAGGGAAGCGATCGGGGGAGGGGAGGATGATACAGGACGGGGGAGAGAGGAAAGTGCGGGAGTGTGGGAGGGGGAGGGGGAGGGGCAGGCAGCAGCGGAGGCGGTGGAGAACCGACCCATGGACCTCTTCAAGGTGCCCCCCGCCTGCTCTTGCCGTTTTCTCTTTCTCTTTTATCATCGCTCTTGGTAGTCGTGAAAATTTTACATTTGTGTTCCGTTAAACACTCACGTCACCTGCTTCTGTTTCCCTGTCACCTTACTGCCCTCTGCTGCGAGTTTGTGACTCCAACTCCACCTGTCCCGCCACCCTGCACGCTCCCCTTCGCTCCAGGCAATCTTTTCGGATGATGAAGACAGCGACGACGATGCTCGTGCCACATCCGCAGCGCCAGGTGGCATTGATGACGTGGCAGCGGCAGAAGCTGCCACGCGGGCTCTTGCCCGGCTGGAGGCAGGTGACTTCCTGGAGGGGCTGGGCGAGGAGCTGGGCTTGCAGGTGGACCCGGGGGAGGTGCGACACGGGGCAGGGGGCGAGGGCAGGCGAGAGGAGAGGGAGGGCAGCAAGGGTGCGAAGCGGGAGAGTAAGGCGGGAAAGGGGAGGGCAGGAAAGGAGCAGGAGGGTGGTGTGTGGGGCCAGGGGCGTGATGGCGCTGGCATGGCAGGCAGTGCAGGGGTTGCAGTTGAAGCAGGGCAGGCGGAACGAGCAAGAGAAGGAGGTGATAATGCGGCAGGTGGAAAGCGGGGCGAGTGAGGCACGTGTGGGGCAGAGTGAGTGGGGAGGCAGTGGAGACGGTATGGGTTATGCACATGGAGGACATGAGGGGTGGTGCCATGGGGGAAGGAAGGGGCGCACTTGCTGCTGCCGCTGCTCCAGCTGTTGCTGCTGTCAAGAAGAAGAAGCGTGTGCTGACGTCATCATCGTCGTCATCAGCATCGTCGGGGTCTGACTCGGATAGCGCAGGCTCTTTGTCTGGTGGAGGGGAGGGGAGGAGGAGGAGGAAGGAGGGGGTGAAGAAGAGGAGCAAGAAACGGTCACGAGAGACTGATGGGGGGAAGAAGCGATGGAAGAGGACGAAGAGACGAGAGAGCGGGAGTACAGGAAGTGAAGAATCATATGATGCAGCGAGGAGGAAGAAGCACAAGAAGAAGGCATCACGGAGAAAGCACCACAGGGGAAGGCATGAGAGCAGCAGTGAGAGCGATGGGAGCAGCAGTGAGGGTGACTACTGTGGGAGTGACAGCAGCAGCGAGAGGAGGCACACCAAGAGCAGACGGCGGCATGGTGATAAGGGGGGGCGCAAGAGGCGCAACAAGCGACGTGATGGGTGAATCCAATGTTTTGTGACCATGCTTCAGAAGCTATGTGGTATATATGGTGATGAAGTTTTGCTGGTGGGAATTGTTAGGATTGTCAATGTGACATGCCATATATTGAAGCGCGCGGCCCAAGTTACGAGTCAAGTTTTTTAAACTTTAATGTCGAGGGCTCTGCACGAGCGTGTTGCGATTTGGGAGGTTGCAAACTTGAACAAGGTGCACCGCAATCCCCCATATAGTAGACCCGGCGTACTAAAGCGCCTCTGTTTGTTATATCCGGGGTGTGGCAGCGCCCCGTTTTCAGATTGGATACAGCACCCCAACCCACCCCACCCTCTCCCACCATTTTTAAGTGCCCCTGCAGTTGTTTCAGCTGGCGAAACATCAGTAAACACCTGCACAAGCATACGGTACAAATTACACTGCAAGCATACTCCTCACTTCGACATGCATCATTTCGTCGCACGTGCCATGCATGCTGCATCCCAGCACTTGCCATGCACCCCAGCACATGCTATGCATCCCAGCACATGCCATGCATCCCAGCACATGCCATGCATCCCAGCACATGACATGCATCCCAGCACATGCCATGCATCCCAGCACATGCCATGCATCCCAGCACATGCCATGCATCCCAGCAGTATTATTTCTCCACATCAATCAACGGCCGTTAAACGGTGTTCAACTGCTCATTGCTCCACCCGCATTCGCGCACACACAGCTGGGTAATCTGCCTCTCATCCACTATTAATCTGCCTCTCACCATCCCGGCTGCACCTTGTTAAAGTACCACATCCAGCTCCTTCAGCTGCGGCATGTCACATTTCTGCAGCTTGCTCGTCTTCGGCCGCAGCTTGCTCGTCTTCGGCCGCAGCTTGCTCGTCATCGGCCGCAGCTTGCTCGTCATCGGCCGCACCTTGCTCGTCATCGGCCACAGCTTGCTCGTCATAGGCCGCACCTTGCTCGTCATCGGCCGCAGCTTGCTCGTCAACGACCGCAACTTGCTCGTCATCGGCCGCAACTTGGTCGTCATCGGCCGCAGCTTGCTCGTCTCCAGCCGCAGCTTGCTCGTCTTCGGCCGTAGCTTGCTCGTCATCCGCCGCAGCCTGCTCATCATCGGCCGCAGCTTGCTCGTCTTCGGCCGCAGCTTGCTCGTCTTTGACTGCAGCTTGCTCGTCTTCGGCCGCAGCTTGCTCGTCTTCGGCCGCAGCTTGCTCGTCTTCGGCCGCAGCTTGCTCGTCTTCGGCCGCAGCTTGCTCGTCTTCGGCCGCAGCTTGCTCGTCATCAGCCGCAGCTTGCTCGTCATCGGCCGCAGCTTGGTCGTCATCGGCCGCAGCTTGGTCATCATCGGCCGCAGCTTGGTCGTCATCGGTCGCAGCTTGCTCGTCATCGGCCGCAGCTTGATCGTCATCGGCCGCAGCTTGCTCGTCATCGGCCGCAGCTTGCTCGTCATCGGCTGCAGCTTGCTCGTTATCGGCCGCAGCCTGCTCGTCATCGGGCGCAGCCTGCTCGTCATCGGCCACAGCCTGCTCGTCATCGGCCGCAGCCTGCTTGTCCTCGGCCGCAGCTGTCAACGTATATGCATGTTATATGTGTGTAGGCTGTAGTGGGGTAGCGAATATGGGGTATAGCCCTGTTTAGGGTTTCATACTTGTACCCAACTCTTCCATAGTGCATTCATTCCTGTAGCTAGATTTTAACATGGTATCAGAACACTAGGTCCCTAGGACCGTCTTTTTTTTTTCGGGCCCACCTACTGTTGCGGTTACCGCGCTACCCCATATGTTATCCTACGCCTACCTGCCTTGCTTGTAACGTGCTGCGCTGCGTGCGCCGTCCTGTAACCCTCGCGCTGCCTCCTACTGCCCTAGGCCAGCGCGCCGCCCCTACTGACTAGTAAGGCCCACGAGCCGCCCCTGCAGGCCCGTCAGGTCCGCGAGCCGCCCCTACAGGCCCGTCAGGCCCGCGAGCCGCCCCTGCAGGCCCGTCAGGCCAGAGCGCCCCCTCGCCAGGTCGTTGACGCGGCCCCGCCCTGCCGTTAACGCGACCCCGCCCTGCCGCGATCGCAGCCCCGCCTTGTCGCTAACGCGGCCCCACCCTGCCGCGGTCGCGGCCCCGCCATGCTACCGACGCAGCCCCGCCAGGTCGCTGACGTGGCCCCGTCAGGCTGCGGTTGCGGCCCCGCCCTGCCGCTAACGTGGCCCCACCATGCCGCGGTCGCGGCCCCGCCCTGCCACTGACGCGGCCCCGCTAGGTCGCTGTCGCGACCCCGTCAGGCCGCGGTAGCGGCCCGCCCTGTCGCTGACGCGAACCCGCCCTGCCTCTGACGCGGCCGCGCCCTGCCACCAACGCGGCCCCGCCCCGCCTCTGACGCGGCCGCGCCCTGCTGCCGACGCGGCCCCGCCCTGCCTCTGACCCGGCCGCGCCCTACTGCTGACGAGGCTCCGCCAGCCCTGCAGCTGACGTGGCCGCGCCCTGGCGCCGACGCGGCCCCGTTCCGCCTCTGACGCGGCCGCGCCCTACCGCCGCCCGGACGCCCGGACGGCTTTGCCGACACGTGCACAAACCTGGGTGAGCTGCGCAGCTACCATGGCTTGCAAATCACACGGGACAGAGCACGCCGCACCATCACACTGCCTCTGTCACACATGGTGCAGCAGATCCTCCAGCGCTTAAGCTTCACTTGGTCCTCGCCACAGTACACTCCTCTAGCTACAAGCCACTCGCTCTTAGCTCCACCTTCGAACGAGTCCGTAGAGCTGAGTGGCCCATACCTAGAGCTATTCGGCTGCCTCATTTACCTGATGACCTGCACTCGACCTGACCTTGCGTACCCTCTTGGCCTTGTGGCTCGTTATGTGGCTCCTAGTAGGCACCGAAAGGTGCACATGGATGCTGCTAAGAGGGTACTGCGCTACTTGTGCTGTACATTGGGCATGGGGCTCGTGCTTGGAGGGCGGAGCCCAGTTGTCCTCAATGGGCACTCGGACGCTTCTTGGGTTGAAGACCTAGCTACGCAGCGGTCGTCACAGGGTTACACCTTCAACCTTGGCTCTGGTTCAGTTTCCTGGTGTTCTACATGGTTGTCTTCAGTTCTCGGCTCCAGTTGTGAGGCTGAGATCTACGCCACAGCCATGGCTGCACAGGAGCTACGCTGGCTCACCTACCTGCTCACCAACTTAGGAGAGCGGCCTCGTTCTCCTCTAGTGCTGTACGTCGACAAGAAGGCAGCCATTGCCTTGTGTCAGGAGCAAAGACTGGAGCACAAAACGAAGCACATTGCTCTACGTTACTTCTTTGCTTGAGAGTTGCAGCAGCGTGGTCAGCTTTGTCTTGTTCACGTGGCCACTCGGGCCAACACTGCTGATATATTCACCAAGGCACTTCCGTCTGGTGATCATCAGCGTTTTTGTACTCTATTAGGCCTTGTACCCACGTATTCTCACTTGCTGTAAACTTTGTCTGTACTCTGATCTATATATGTACCTGCATGCTTTCTCTGCTAGGTAGAGATCACTCTGTTGCCGTTGTTGCATGTATACCTCTGCATGTGAACTGGCCTTGCGGCCTCCTCTAGCCGCCCTCGCGACCCCCCCCTCCCTGCCGCCCTATCGGCCCCGTCGCCTACCCCTCCGGCCCCGGCGCCGCCCTCCCTGGCCCCGGCGCCGCCTCTGCTAGCCCCGTCGCCTACCCCTGCGGCCCCGGCGCCGCCCTTCCCGGCCCCGGCCCTGCCTCTGCTGGCCCCGTCGCCTACCCCTACGGCCCCGGCGCCGCCTCCGCTGGCCCCGTCGCCTACCCCTGCGGCCATGACGCCGCTCTTCCCGGCCCCGGCCCCGCCTCTGCTGGCCACGTCGCCTACCCATGCGGCCCCGGCGCTGCCCTTCCCGGCATCAGCGCCGCCTCTGCTCGCCCCGCCGCCATCCCCACGCGGCCCCGCCGTCACCACCGAGCCGCCGACGCCGCCGAGCTACTGCCGAGCCGCCAGAGCCACCCGAGCCACCCGAGCCGCCGCGCCTCCTGAGCCGCCCGAGCCGCCGGAGCGCCGCCAACCGAGCTGCAGTTGCTGCGGAGTCGCCGTACCGCCCGAGCCGCCCGAGCCGCCGAGTCGCCGAGGCGCAGTTGCTGACGAGCCGCCGTACCGCCGAGCCGCCTGAGCCGCCCGAGCCGCCGAGTCGCCGAACCGCCGAGCTGCAGTTCCTGCCGAGCCGCCCGAGCCGCCCTCTCCGGTAAGAGCAGCGCCTCTATCATTGCACTGCCCTTACCCTACTGTTCACGCTGCTAGTCTACTACTGTCATGGCTACCCCTAGTGTCCTCACTTTTGACGCTGAGGGTCGAGCCATTGACTTTGACGTCTGGGTAGATGACCAGCAGCTTTTCCTACAGTGCGATAGGACAGACGGTCTCTCCCTCTTTGACCTCACCTCTGGTGCCTCTCCTGCCCCTGATGCTGACGCTGACACCACTGTTCGCTCACAGTGGGCCACACGCAATGCTACTGCACGTCTTGCTATGCGTCGCCACGTGCCTACCTTTGAGCGTGCGCACTTTAGCTAGTAAAAGAGTGCTCAGACCTTGTACGACGCTATAGTTGCACGCTACTCCTCCCCTGCCATTGCTGCACTTAGCCGCCTCATGCTATCGTACCTCTTCCCTGACCTTGCTACCTTTCCCACAGTCGTTGACCTCATTACGCACCTCCGCACTAGTGAGACTCGCTACCGCGCTGCGCTTCCTACTGAGTTCTGCGCCAAGAACCCCCCCCCATGTACATCACCCTCTACTACATAGTCACCCGCCTCCCTGACTCTCTCCCCGTAGTCCGGGACCACTTCCTCTCAGTTTGCCTCACCACTCTCACCGTTGACCTCCTCGAGAAGGCCCTCGTAGCAGCATAGAAGAGCATAGTCGCTGTAGGAGCCTCTTGTGGTGACCCTCGCACCCCCGTCTTTGAGGGGTGTTCCCCCTCACCCCTTTTGCCCTCTGTTGCCTCTGCTGCTGCGGCCGACCTCGTTGGTTTCGAGTCGGTCGGCGGTGCGTCTGCCCCGAGCGGGAGACGTCGCCCCGACAAGGGCAAGGAGGGCAAGGGCACTAGAGGGGCTGGCGGGGGTGGCGGAGGTGGCGGTGGAGGCAGTGGAGGGAGTGGTGGCGGGGGTGGAGGTGTTGGTGGCGGCAATGGAGGCGGAGGCGGAGGCGGCGGTGGCGGTGGGAGCGGAGGTGGCGGAGGTGGCGGCGGAGGAGGAGGCGGAGGCGGAGGAGGTGGAGCTAGTCGGGGTGGCGCTGCGCAGAGGGTCGGCTCTGGTGGTGGCCAGCGCTAGCAGCAGCAGCAGCAGCAACGCACTCGTGACATCCCCCCCCCTCAGCAGCTCCGTGAGTGGTACGCTGCACACCAGCGGGGTGGGGGTACTGGTCCGTGCACCAACGTCCTACGCACCGACGACCGCGCGGGTGAGCAGTGCGGGGGTGCGCACTCCACCTAGTGCTGCTTTGGCCACCTGACGGACACTTGGCATCACCAGTTCCCTGAGGCCACTGAGATCCATCGCTGGGGCAAGCTGTCTAGGGCAGGAGTGGTTATCTTTGATCTTGACTTTGATCCTATTCTTGCTGCCATGTATGCTGTGACTATTAGTGATGAGGGTGACTGTTACCGGTATTTTCCGCCTGACCCAGGCATTGAGAATGCTGAGCTAGGTACTGGTGAGGCTGCTGCTCTAGGTGCTAGCGAGGCTGCACCTCTAGGTGCTTGTGCGTTTGCTCCCTCAGGTGCTGGTGAGTCTGCTCTCTCAGGTACTGCGTCGGCTTCGGCCTCCCACACCTTCACCCTTGACTCGGGGGCTTCTCGCTCCTTCTTTCGAGACCCCTCACTCCTCCCAGTTTCCTCCGACAGAGGCTCCGCTGCAGACGCTTCACATGGACGTGTGGGGCCCGGCCCGCGTCCGTGGACAGGGTCACGAGCGCTACTTCCTGCCGGTGGTTGACGACTACTCGTGTTACACCACAGTCTTCCCCTTGCGCAGCAAGGATGATGTCACTGAGGTGTTGATCCACTGGATCCGCGCAGCTCGTCTCCAGCTCAGGCAGAGCTTTGGCTCGGACTTTCTTATTCTGCGTTTGCACTCTGACAAAGGTGGAGAGTTCTCCTCTGGCCTTCTGCGAGCTTATTGTCGTGCACGAGGCATCCGCCAGACCTTCACGCTTCCGGACTCTCCACAGCAAAATGGGATTGCTGAGCGCCGCATTGGCATGGTCATTGACGTCGCTCGTACGTCCATGATGCATGCGGCTGGCCCCATTTTCTGTGGCCGTTTGCGGTTCGGTACGCGGCGCATCAGATCAACCTTCACCCCAGGGTCTCCATGCCTGAGACCTCCCCAGCTTTGCTGTGGACGGGGAAGGTAGGCGATGCGTCTGCGTTCCGTGTCTGGGGATCTCGGGCGTTTGTTCGCCACTTG